GTGTCTAAGACTTGATATCTAACAGAACAGGATTGTTTTCTTTCGGCTTTTTGAGACAGGCTCTCATTGTATAGTTTAGATGGGCGTTGAACTCACTGGCTTTGCACTCATGGCAATCCTCCTGCCTCAGCCTCCTGAGTGCTGGGGTTACAGGTGTGCACCACTATGCCTGCTTCTAGAACAGAAATCTACTGGCCTATAGTTGTAGAGGCTGGAAGGCCAAGGGGGAGGTATCCTGTCTGTGAGGGCCTCTTTGTTGGGTTCTGTTGTAATGGAAGGTCAGAGGGCAAGAGAACACAGAGAAGAGAGCAAGAGGAAGGGGGTGAGTCATCCTCTTTCAGGAACCCACTTCTGTGACCCCTCCCACTCCAGTGATAATGCCCTTAATATACTCCAGCTGGCTTGACCCCACCATGCCTAACTGTCCCACTGGGCACCTTGGACCACTAGTGATGGTACAAATAGATCTAATCACTTATATAGGTCTTTTTACTAACACAAAAAAAGGAGCCCAACGGGACAGTCATGCATGTACAGCAGTGGTTCAAGCCCCCGGCTTGGAGACACAGATTACAACCCCATTGTGAACATGAACGTGAGTGTGTTCACAACTGTCCTCTTCAAGTTCCCACCCCTCAACACCACTGCACTGGAGACTGCGTTTCCAGCCCATGCATTTGGGAGGTACGTTGAACTGGAGCAGTGGGTTAGGCTGTTCTACTCGGAACACGTGGTGTTCTGCTGGGGGAGGGAGGAGCAGAGGTGACCAGAAGCTCACTGGGTGCAGTCTCAGCAGGACTGTCCACAGAAGGCATTAGCCAGAGAGGGTGGCTTCCTGCCTGCACCCCTTCTCACCCCCGCCGTGACTTGTTTGGCCCGCTCGTGATTCCCAGCCCTGTGTATCTTCATGCATTTGCCCCATCTAGCTGATTTGGCACTTATGTGCAGTGTATTTTGTTCCTACTCTGAGCTCTTGCTCAGGCTGTGTTCTGTATTCACTGGTGCTACTTGCTGCCTGTGGGATGGATCTCAAAACATGTGATGGCTGAGAGGTCAGCCTCTGTGTAAATTTGGTTTCCCTCCATGACTGTAAAAGGCCTCAGCATCACAATGGAGTCACTTAGGTCAAACCCTAGCAGAGTGGAGGCAGGAAGCCCTCAGGAAGGAACCTCTCTCATCCATATTCCTGTGACAAGAATCGCCGCAAGGAATTCCTCCAAACTGCACTATTCCAGATCAACCTTCCACATGGGGATACTTGCCTGAGAGTGGTGGTCTCTGCCAAAGAACTAGTGTCAGCCCTTGCAGTAAGCCCTCATCACCAGTGGTCTTTGTCTCACAACAGCCTACATGGAGGTCTCTCTTCTCTTTTGAAAGCTTCTTCTTGGGGCTGCGGGTGTAGCTCAGTGCTTTCTTAGCATGGCAAGACCCTGGTTTCCATCCCTAGAACCAATGAAACCAAAAGTAGAGTTTCCTCTTTCCTCATCCTCTTCTGAGGCACACTGGCCACCATCGCGTGCATGTCTCGGATTGCAGTCCCCTCCAGGCCCCAATAAACCCTTCATTTAGAGAGTTGATCTCTCTGTTGCTCAGTTCAAGTTGACAGCTGTGCGTGGCCCTGAGCTCTCTCTAGGGCTCAGCCCCTCAGCTGTAGGAAGTGCGGCGGGAATGCACTCTGCCTCCTCTGCTCATCCCGAGGGTAAGGGGTGCGCTTGGTGCAGTACTGCGCGGATTGAAAGCACACTGTAAATCTTGTCATTCTTCTATCCTACTTTGTGCAGTTGTTTTAAACTCTTGCATTACTTCCCTTGCAAATGACCTCAGCATTTTAGATCTCAGCATCTAAACTCAGGGCCACGTTGCTACCACTGGACCATAGAGATTTTTAATCTTCCAAGGTTTAGGTGTTGGACCACATATTTTTAACAGGAACCCTAAACATCAAGATCTGGCATGACTGTCACTGATCAGTTAGATAAGTGCTTCAGAAACAACATGAGTTCTTGGGAGCCCCTCCATAACTTCGGAGCACAGTTAGGACAGAAATTTGGCCCTTCATGTCCATGGATCACCACGAACCCTGTAGATCCCGCTGCTTTCACATAAGGATGCTTAATTCTTCATAGTGACTTTCTTTTGCCTTTGTCCCAAGTTTTGCTTTGGATTCTTCTCCCTGTCTCATCTCTGCCCCTCTCCTCTGTTTGCCTGCTGTCTCCTTTCGGGGTGGTGGTTTTCTGTTTCACCCCTTACCTTCCCTGTAATCACCTCTTAATTCCCTTATTGTAAAACCCACTCTTAAAAAAAAAAGCTTAGGGGCTGGGGATTTAGCTCAGCGGCAAAAGCGCCTGCCTGGCAAGCGCAAGGTCGTGAGTTCGGTTCCCGGTACCGGAGAAAAACCAAAAAAAAAAAAAAAAAGCTTATCCCATGTCTTCCTCCCAGGTACACCGCACTCAGACCTGGACCGTGTTTCTCTGCTCCCCTATCACAAGTGCTGAAAACAGGTGCATGCTGCACCTTTGAAGCCCTGTGAAGAACTGACCCTCCGTAGCGTTCTGCACTGCACCTTCTTGGCCTCAGGAGCAAGCACCTTGCTGGAGTTCTCTCTGGGTCTGGATCCTACAGAGCACCAGCCAGATTCTGCCCCTCTGACACCAACGTGTCCCATGCGTCCTTTGGGACTGGGGCCACTTTTCCCATAGTACCCTTCACAGCGTTTGTGTTATTTTTGGACTCGGGTCCAAACAGAACAGAACAAAATTTATGTCTGTCTGCCTCTGAACTTCAAAGCCTTGGACGCGCAGTCTCCTCTTGCTGTTTTCCATGCAACCCCTGGTCTCCCTGCTCCATTAGTGCTCCAGGCATGCGGGGGATGGGGGAGTTGTCCACAGGGGGTACAACACGTTTGTGTCAGGAGAGCTTTAAAGAGGACAGGCCCGAATGTCGCCCCCACAGGCTCTGCGAAGCAGCTGAGTAAACTGCTCTTAGCTGTGTCTACTGTTTATTTTCGGGAAAGATGACAATAGAGTTTCCTTCTAAAGCTAAGTAGCCGTGCAAGCAGGAAAAATGGCCTGTCCCCATCGAAGAAATAGAAAACTTTTCCCTTGAATGTTTGACTGGCCTCGTAAAAATAATTCGCAGACTAGAAATGAATTTAATTCATTTGTCACAGGCTGTCTTTGGTAATCTCAAAAGGGAGTGTGTCGATATGGGACATTTTTTTGAATCAAAACTAAGTCCTTTCACCTGTTCTTTCCCTAAGTTCTCTGCCTTGTGAGCTTGCAATTCTGGCTGCACGTCTGAGTCTCTGTTTCTCCAGCTGCAAAATGGAGATAATGTTATGTTACCACGTTTCCCCGAAAATAAGACCTAGCCAGAAAATAACCAGCCTGGAAAACTAGAAATCAAAAGCACCAGCCCCAAGCAGCCTGTTCTCGCCTTATTTGCCTTACAGAGGAGTCACTGAGCAAGAGAACAGTGGTGGCAGTGGTGGATTTTTAAGCCGTCTGGACTGAGTCCCTTCCCAGAGGCTGGGTGTGGCATTGACCATGTGTCCCGTTGTGACAGGCCTCAGGGCGTTTTAAATTTGGGGGCGTCTTGGATTTTTGAATCTTCAGATGAGGGATGCTCAGCCTGTTTCTAATGCTAATGATATTTTTACCTCTGTAAGGTATCACAGCAAAATACTTTAAGCATCAGAGGACTTTAATTTCTCTGTGGCCAAAATACAGCCCTCTTTGTGGGGAGAATCCGCAGCCACTTCGTTCTAGTGTAGAGGCCTGGGGGTGTGAACTGGGTTCAGATCGGCTCTGAAACACTTGAAGATGACCTCTGCTGACAAGTGAGAGAACAGAAAGAAACCCCCAACACACGCCATCTTTCCACAGCCCCTGGGCTTATGTTGGTCAAAAAGTGAAAATATAAAAATATTCTGTGCGAGGGGACAGGTCTGTAGTCCTAGCTTCTTGGAGGCTGAGGCAGGAAGATTATGTGAGCCCAGGAGTTTCGAGCCAGCCTGGGAAACGTAGCACGACCATTATCTCCAGTAGGGGGTGGGCAGGGAGACAGACAGAGAGACAGACAGGGAGAGGGAGAAGGGGAGGGAGATTGATTGATTCTCTTTGATGCAATGGAAAGAAAGGGCTCAGAGATCCCCAACAGTGGCTCACAACTGTGCTAGAAAGAACTTTAAGAGTAACTGAACTTCTGGTTGTTGTGGTGCACACCTGTAATCCACCTCCACCATGAGGCTGAGGCAGGAGGCTGAGGCAGGAGGATTGCTGCAAGGTTGAGGCCAGCCTGGGTACACAATAAGTTCCAGGCGAGCCTGGACTGCACAATGAGACCCTGTCTCAAACAAACAGAAAAGACTGAATACATACCCATCATTGTACAGTCTGCATGAGAAAAGTCTTGCCTCTCACCCCGGAGCGTTAGCAGAAAAGCACAGGTTACCGAGCAGTGTGATGCGGCTTCTCGTTTCTCCACACTTCCCAGGCACTGACAGGTGGTTTTCACATTCTAGCTTCCAAAATGATTTTTCAGCAAGACACAGTTTTGTAAACACTCCGTGGATCCTGACTGTACTCTCACTTTGCTCCTCGCTGCGTACTTTCCGTTTTAGAATTCACCAGCCAGAGAGTAAGCTCTGAACAACTGCATGAAAAATAAAGCAACGCAGTCATAAAATAAATGAGTAAATAGTAAAACAAATGAAGTGATATCGATTTGTAATTTTCCCTGATTTCAGGAAGGATTTGATCGGAGCAGCAGTAGTGAGGGTCTGGTGGAGGCTGCAGGAGCCCTGTGTGCTGGTGACCGCTCGTGTCTCTGGGGCGCCTTGTCATAGGCTGTCTCCCAGCTGTGTCACCATCTGTCCCCGTAGGGTCGCATGGGCGGTGTGCGCTGACTCTGGCATTTTTCACTCTGATGCCGGGGCGGACAGATCGGGACCTGCAGTGGGACGCCGGGCGAGTCACTGTGCCACGTGCTCTCTCTTTCAGAGACTCTGACCTGTTTTTGTTGGACACCCGAGTCGTGTGGGCCTCCGAAGAAGGCTGGCTGGAGTTTGACATCACGGCCACCAGCAACCTGTGGCTGGTGACGCCGCAGCACAACATGGGGCTCCAGCTGAGCGTGGTGACACAGGATGGTGAGCTGGGTCTCCGCGGTAGCGAAGTCTGGCCGGTGGTGCTTTATTCACTGCCCCTCTTGCAGTCGCGGTGGAGCCCTGGTTTATCGTCCCATCCTCGGCTCCGGGGTGACCTCATTTCCTGTTCCCTTGTGGCTGCCATTGGAAACCAAAACCCCCCCAGTGGGGATGTGGAGTCTGGCTTGGCCCACATCCCTCAGACCCAAGAGTAATGGTGGAGGAGCAGATTTCACGGCAGAGGCAGGGGGTGTTGAGAGAGAGGAAGACGGGAGCTTCCATGGCCCCCTCTCCTCCTGCAGTTGCAAAGCCCAGGGTCTTCATTTGCAGTCTGCTCCCTGATTGTGGAGAAATAAGATGAGAGGGGAGGAGGGTGCATGGATGAATAAGACCTGCAGACACAGGAGCGCGCCCAGAGCTCACCCACTCCTTGGAAGGAGTGTTTGGTTCTGCCCGTCTGAAGGGAGCCATTGCAGTCTGGGGAGCGCGTGAGGCTTCTTCCTCGCACCCATTCCTCATTATCAGCATGTGGGCTCCTGGGAAGGGTCACTGCATGGTGTCGCTGTGGGACTAAGATTCCGGGGAGTCAAGAGGGCCATGCTCTGGTTTGCATTCAAGGACTCCACATCAACCCCCGCGCGGCGGGCCTGGTGGGCAGAGACGGCCCTTACGACAAGCAGCCCTTCATGGTGGCCTTCTTCAAGGTGAGCGAGGTCCACGTGCGCACCGCCAGGTCCGCGCCCGGCCGGCGCCGCCAGCAGAGTCGCAATCGCTCCACCCAGTCCCAGGATGTGTCCCGGGTCTCCAGCGCTTCCGGTAGGTGTGAGCGCAGCCCCGCTGGCCTTGGTGAGAGTAGAGCTCCCACGGCTGGCTTCGGAAGTTGACAGCTCCTACTCAGCAAATGTGGTGGCCCGAGGTGTCCTTGCATGATGGCGAATTGTCACAGTCACGGAATATCTGAGTGGCCTCCTGGGGGCCACACAGCGGGATGCTTGTTATCCAAAGACCCGGGCTGCAGGCATCCTGACTGCCTCTTTCCCCAGAGGAGCATCTGTTTGGTTAGATGTGCCCATCTCCTATTTTATTCCCATCAAAATCATGGAAACACCTCAACTTTTATTTCTGGTTGTGTTCTTTAGCCCTGGGAGCTGCTGTGTGGTTGAGCAGCCCTTATCTGAAGTGCTTGGGGCCAGAAGTTTTACGTTTTCAGATTTTGGAATATTTGCATATACACACAAGATATCTTAGGGACAGGAGCCAACCCTCAATGCAAAGGTCAGTTACGTTTTGCAGATGCCTCGTACCCAGCCGGAACGTCATTTACGCAGCACTTGGAGAACACCTGTGCTTTGACTGGGACCCATCACATGTAGCCAGGGGTGGGGTTTCTCTCCTTGTGGCCTCGTGTTCGCACTCAGAAGGTTTCAAATTTTGGAGCTTTTCAGGTTTCAGATTTCCAGATTGGGCTGCTCGGCCGGGACACACAAACCTTGTGTGTTTGTGTAGCAGGGACTTGTGTTTATCAGTGCCCTTGGCTGGAAGGGATGGAAAGTAAACACCGACAGCCCTGGAAAATGGCTTTTATTGAACTGGGAAGTCCAAAGGTTCTGGCTGTTGGCTTGGCTGATCCACGGGCTCGGATGATGTTCGGAATCTCTCTTTCTCCTTTTCTATTTTCCTTTGTTGGTGGTGTTCTCAGAAAGAGTCTCTCTGTGTGGACGCAAGAAGGCAGCCCAGAGTTCCAGGGTTTGTCACCCTTGGCAATCTCAACCGCAGATGGAGAAAGAGCCCCCCTTTCATTGCAGTTTTGGCAGAAGGCAGGGGCCTGGCTTGCATCCTGCACACCCCCATCCCCGGGCTCCCTGCTGCCTGGTTGATGCTCTGGTTGGCCAGGCCACATTGTATGCATGTGTCTAGGGCCAGGGGTGGGTCCACCTCTGTATACCTGAAGCAGGCCAGGCCACAGGGCAAGAGAGAAGAAACAGCCCCTGCTGCTTTTGTCTCTGATCCATGTCTCTTGAGGCGTCCCACCCATACCGTGCCCTGCGGGAGGGGGCATGCACCACTGTGGCAGCACAGCGGGGGGGGGGAACCTGCCCTCCTGACGGCCATTCATGCAGCTGTTAGGTAGAATTCAATTCACACCCTTACATTTCTGTCTCCCCAGCCAGTGCCTGCAAGTCCTGGGTTTCCCTTGGCCATTTAAGTAGCCTGGGGAATCAAGAAGGAAGCAGAAGTTTCGGTAGGATTTGCAGTCAGAGAACTCGCACACCTTGTTGCTACCCTTCGACTCTGGACAAACCTAATCTTTTCAGATTCAGCACTGACATCTGTAAAGTGGGGAGGATGAGTGCTTTGCAGATTAGTTGGTATTAAATGAAATTCAGTCCATCTGGCCAAAAATGGCACTCAAAGACGTGTTATATCCAACTGTAAGAAGTAAATTCTTGGGTGGATGTGTGCCAAAAGTAAAATACTGCTGGAAGACACATTTATTTTTCCAGGTGGCTATTTATAAATGTCACTCTCATGACCCAGAAAGAGTTAATGCAACTCCCCAAAGTACCAGGTTTTTCTCTGGGGAGAAGTATCTCCTAAATTTTAGGCTCTGACTATATGAGCTGTCTCTTTCCCTGGTAACTTGACGATGGAACTCGAGACCCACCACCCAGCGTGATGTGACATTGTGTTTCTGGTCTTCCTGGTGTTTCTTGGAAGCCCTGCCCGCATGCGTGTTCCTGTATGTACCACTACGAACAATCAGGGCGGGGGTTTAAAAAGAGAAGGAGGGAGAGAAGTGCCTGGTTTCTTTTATTCACTTCAGAGGCAGCTTGCGGAGCAGAGTTAAGGAGCTGCGGTTCCCTCAGGGGCACGATGGTGGCGTCTGCCAGTGGTGGGCTTGAAGTGATTTATGACCTGCGGTCACTTGGTTCTGGGACCTCAGACACGGAGGCATCTCTTGAAATGCTGATTGCTTTTTAAACTTAAAAATCTCACTTGATTAATTCAACACCCACCCTACCAGCCCAATATTAGATGCAAACCAATTTTTTTAAATTGAGAAAACATGTTGCTGATTTGGATTTCAGCAGCGTCACCCAATTATTATTTTCCAAGTCTCTTTCAGTTCTTTTTTTTTTTCAATTTGATGAGTCAAAATTAAATATGGACATTAAAGTTGATCTAATTTATAATAAGATGCAAATGTCTCGGTTTCATTTTGGACTCCCCACCCCCTACCTCCCAAGCCAGTGCTTTCCCGATTTCCTTTTAGCAGGCCTAAGATGAAAGAGTTTGCACCAAATCCCTGTGTTCTCACATATTTGCAAGTCCCCAGGATGTACTGCAGCAGAGGATCCTCTCTCCTTCTGTCTTGTAAGCCCCTCCCCAATGAGGAGAAGCTGTTCACATTTGACTCGGGGTACTAATTTATGTATTTGGCTCTTTATTCTTCTGTAAAGGGGAGCGGATAGGCAGAAGAAGCGATTTCTCTCCGAGAAAGGATTTCCAGAAAGCTGGCTACCTGGAGAATCAGGCGTATGGTCTTAGCCTCTCCTCCCCGTGCCTGGGACGCCACAGGTTGCTGGTCCTTAGAGAACCAGGCCCAGGTTGCTGAGATGGAAAAGCACGGTCCCTGGTGTGACTCCTTCCGGCTTTCCCCTTGCAAATCTCTCAGAGGGCTGAAGGGAAAAATTACTTTGCCTCTGCTGCCCCCGCCGTGTGTTCCCAGGCAACTGATACTTCTCTACCAAAGCAGCCACCTTCCAAAGAAGCCCACCAGGCATTGTCTTGCACCTGGGTAAAGAACTTAACATCATTTATCAGACTGGTTGCCATGGGGTGAAATGTAAGGAAATCAGTGGTGGTTTCGGGAGCTGAGCTGTGCACGTCTGAGACCCAACTGGTCCACTAATAAGGGAGGAGCCGAGAGCCCATCTAACACCTCCCCACCACGCGAGGTCTACGCTAACATTCGTAGTTGGCTTTCAAGCCGGACTTTGCCAGCTTGTGTGCTGGACAGTGGGTTTGGACAGTGTTCCTGGACCCTTGCTTCTGTGCAGCTGCATGCTGCCCTGGAATGCTGATGCTGCCAGGCCGCTCCTCTCCTGTGGGCTTGCACGGCCACTGGGAAGCATCACAGTTTTTACACATTTGCCTGGTGCTGGGCCAAGCCACACTGTGCAGCCCCCCAGGAGTTCTAATGCATCTGGTGATTCTTTTCTCGGCCTTGGGTTCTGACCATCTCCTGCATCTGTGACACCTGCCTTTGGGTTCTTTGGCTCTATTTTAGGCATCTCTCTCTAGGTGCTGCCCTCTCCCTCTGTGATGGTCTCCCTCTTAGAGTTCGTTATAGTAATCCCCGGACTCATGAATGAGTTCCATTCCATTCTGGGACAATGTTCATAAGGCAGATTGGTTCATAATTCTGACAAAGTGAGTCTTACATACCTTCAAAACAAATATATGATGTAAAGTATAAAACAAACACGCACACACAGAAATACTGTAGGTAAACTTTTTACTTTTACAGTTACCTTAAAAGGTGGGGTAGTACAGTACAATTGGCATCTAGGGGGTTGCATAAAGTGAATGCACTAGAAGAGTCGCGGTTCTAGCTGCAGGGGGAGGGCAGGTAGATCTTCAGATCACCTGCATCAGCAACAGGAGTTGGAAGGCAAGGTGGAATTTTGCTCCCACCTGATGCCAATGACACTGAATTTTCAATGGGCTCAACTGTGTCAATTCTGTCTGTTTGTAATCTGAGGTCCATTCATATCCGTGAAAGTTCATAATTTGAATGTTCCTTAAGTTGGGGGGCTTGCTATATTTTGTCCTCTGGGGGACTGCACTTCCGTTTGGTTGATCCATTTTGAGATCTATGAATAATGGCCTTGAAGGCTAATTCCCTTTGATGATTCTAGACTGTGATCCAACTACTTCTTCAAGATCTTTCCAAGACCTCTCTAAGAAGGAAGAGGTGGATGACACTATTTGAAATTACTAACAAGGCAGGTTCTCTGTTGCTGACCTAGTAACTTAGAATTAGTCTTCATTTTGTCAGATGAGTTAGGATATTGTCTGTGACCTTCAACGGCTCATGTAAAATCAGAGCGACCTCTCTTATTCTTGTTCATGTTGTCACCGTCCCACTCTGCCAGCTGTCTACAAACCAGCTGTGATCCCATGTGCTCTTGGGCACAAGTCTGAGGAGGACAGCTCCAGTACTACGTGTGAGCATTTCTTGGAGTAAGACCCTTTTCCATCTCTTTCCCACCCATCCAAGCAAGCATCTTTAAGGATGTTGGGGAAAATGTGGCTTTAGGAAGGTTAGGTGCACTGTGGACCTTCTTGCTGATAATTCTGATCTCCTAGCCCTGGAACCTGACAGTGGGGACAAAGGCGTGTGCTTCCAGCGTGACAGAGGTAACAAGAATTCATCGCCTACAGAATTCATCTCTTTGAGTACTTTTTTATGGCTGTGCAATCTTTGCTATAGATTTCAAGGAACTGCAACCCGCAGACTGGGGGTCTGATTTTTATGGTGTCCCAGTACTTATCTTTGAGTCCCTGGGTGTCAAAGCTGTGTGAACATCTCGGGGAGGATGGACATGTTTTAGGACTGCAAAATTACAGTCACTGGTTCTTCACAGGGGTTGGAAATTTTATTTTGTCATTTTGATCTTAAATTAAAATTGTAGGGCCTGTAGCTTGGTTTCCAGATGTATTGGTTAAGAAATAGGGGCTCAGCTGGGCGTGGTGGCATGTTCCTGTAATCCCAGCACTCGGGAGGCTGAGGCAGGAGGATCATTGTGAGT